CCTCGGTACCGGACCAGCCGCGGTGGGGTCCCTTTCCCTTCTCTTCCCTTGGCTCCTCCTCACCCCCCTCGCCCCGATCACCCGCGGCCCTCGTGAGGACAAGCACAAAGCGAGGGGAGTTGCATCCCCCGGCTCCCCTTTTCGATGAAAGCGGAGGGGTTCCCGCGTCCCCACAAGTTTATGGGGCCCCTGGAGAAGAGCCCCCCCGGTGCTCTGCCCCCATCGTGGGGTCCAGGGGCTTCTCCTGTGCCTGCCGGCCACGGGGCACGCCCGACCCCGTGGTGTAGTTCGGTTCGTGACCGAACCCTGACCGGGACGGGCGGCGTTGGGGGAGGCGTGGAGCCGCGGAGGAAGGGGCACCCTTTTCACGGCGGCTGTGTGCTCTTTCGCTAGAGAGCAGGCCCAGTTAAGAGCCGGTGTGGTTGAGGAGGACACCGAGGAGTGGCAGAAAGATTCACGTTTTACAGGACTGGAGAGAGTGGGAGGTGTGGACTTATCTTACATCAAAGGAGATGACACCAGCGCCTGCGCTTCCCTGGTCGTTCTCAGCTACCCGGCTCTTGAGGTAACGGCAAGTGAACAACTTCACTCCTTCAGGTTGTGTCCAGGTGTGCAATAATGTGAGGTTTTTAATAGAAAACTTACACAAAGGCCATTACCTGCTGCGCCTCTGCCTCGCAGGACACTGGTCAGTTATCACCTGTATGTTCAACAAAGCCTCCAACTGTATGTTCTGCAAGAAAGATAAACAGAGAAAAAAAAACCCACGTGTAAGGATTTAGACGTAAGTTTAGGAAGATGTGATGCAAACTGCTCCTGATTGTGAGAGGTTTGTAGGATTACTGGGAGTTTATGAGGCGTGGAGGGATAAGTTTAGTATGCGTTTAAGTTAGTTGGTAAATCGAAAAATACCATGATGAGGTCGTCCATGCTCAGGCACAGAAGTCTGTGACGGGTTTAGGTGTATATTGAATATTATCAGTCTCGGCCACTAACCAGAAGGAGACAAAAAGGACCATTGTTATTCAGTGCTGATCAAGAGAGGAAATTAAAGCATTTGTAGCACTCAAACAGCAGATGTCTTGTTTGTGAGTTCTTGCTGGGAATCAACTAATAATATGGGATGTAACATATCAAAGCCTTTTCAAAACCGCCATGAATCCCACATCCCACAGTCATTTTACTTGAATTAATACAGATTTTTGGTCTCTTCCCCAGCTTTCAAGATGATATAAAAATTAGCTATAAAACCTATAACAAACAGAGAAATAAAGTTTGATACTGGCCGCTGGGATGTTTATGAACTGAATTTTAAATCCTGCCTTGATTCTTGCCCTGCCCTGCATGAACCATTTTTTGTCCTGTCTTACAGGGTTTCTTTTGGCCTATCCCTGCATAGAGACAGATACCCTTTGATAATGCTCTGACTGTGTGAACTTTGAGGTCCCCCACTGTGTATTTGAATAGCTGCCCTAATTTTATTTCAAGGACTTCACTCTCAAGCAGGGTATGGTAGGTGATGTCCAGCCCTCTTCTGTCAGCAAGTCCATTGTCCACCCCTTTCTCTAACTGAGTGACAGACTGACACAGCCCCATGGCCTTGGCTTTGTGGGAGAGATCCAGAAGCAGAGTATTTAAAAAAAGATTAGAGTAAGGGACATAAACCAGAGGAGCTGCCTCTGAAACCGTCAGGAACTAACCAGTGGAGTCCTGGAGGTCATTGTCTCTGCACTGTCCCACTGCTCCCAGGTGCTGTACGAGGATTGCCGGATGGTGGCTGTGAGCGCCCAGTACGTGGCAGGATTCTTAGCCTTCCGAG